CCCCCCCCAAAAAAAAAAAATTCCACATTGCGTAGGGGGAAGGCTGCCTATAAAAATTCCAGTTGAAATCTCTTGTGCAAAAGGCACCTCCCAGAGCTAACAGATGAGTCTGTATTGGTTCTGTTGCAAGATGATCCCCCCTTCGGGCAAAGGTTTTCTTTACATTTTCATTTTGGGAAAAGTGAAAAGCAAATGACCGGTAGGATGGATGTCAGTGTTGGATGTCGTCAGAGGAACTGGTGTCTGCTCAGTTGCCTTTCTCCTTGTAGACGGTCAAGCTGGGTCTGTCGGGCACATAGTGGTCTCAGTGGCCGGGCAGGCTCGGGGCCATCGAGGGGGCCGTGGGATTTCTTCTCCTTGGACGTGGTTATGGAGACACCTTGACGGGAAGGGACCCTGCAAACACTCACCCTTACGGTGGACTTAATGAAAGCTGGAGGTGGAGTTGGCCACCATACCTGTGTGGTTTAGATGTTCATTGTCCCCCTAAAACGGGACACGAATGGAATACAGGTCCTTGGAGTCTCTCTTGTCCATAATTCGTTTTCTTTACGCTTCTGCTTTGTCTTCTTGGTGACTCTGATCCTTGCTGTAAAAATCCAAACTGGGCATCCCATGTGCGGTGGACTCTCAGAGGGCCCAGGCACAACCTTCCCCGGGGGGGAGATGTGACATCTGTGCATTTAAGGAGTAGGTTCCAGAGGCTACCCAGACCTCCAGGACTCTTTCTGCCCCTTCCCTTTTCTCTTATGTTCTGTCGAGACAGGTGCAGCTCCTTAGGCAGCTGGAATGGGGGCAGAGTATCCCCAGGGGGTGGGTGAAAATGGGAGAGGAGAAAAGGCGGGTTGGGCGCCGTCTCAGGCTTCTGCAGCTCAGGTGTGTCCTTGAGTCACCTGGCGGGTCTTTGCTGTTGATATCGTCTCCTGTACTGTGCCCAAGAAAGCATCTCTTTCCGTAGCTCTGTCTACCTCTCTCTTCTGCACACACATCTGGCGATGTGGCCAGAGAGGCGCCTTTTGGGAAACTCATGCATCTTCTTTTCAGTAGCAACATGTCAAAGGAAATGCATCCCCCCCCCTCACACTTGGGCTGATGCCACTCATGAATCAGAAGGCTATGGACGGGGGTGTGTCTTGGAAAGTGCCACGGACACAGCTTGTGCCTATAAAAGCTTTAAAAGGCAGTAATGTTGAAGATGCTGAACGTTCCCCCTTCTCAGACGTGACCTATGGTTCAAACAGATATAAACTCAGGACATGAGCGTGAAGACAAAATTTGGGAAAACAATCTCTTCACAATGCGTAACTCAGTGGAAGGTTGTTGCTAACGGATGCAGTGCGCACGTGGTCCTACGGAACGTGTCTTTAGCCCAGATTTCACAGTGGGCATCCTGTGTGGATTAAGTGGAGGGTCAACATGGCCTAAAACGTGAGCAGTCTCTGAACCGTTTCATCGTCGGATGTTAGATTAGATTGGCCAGGCGATATTGGGCACTGACACAAGAAAGAAAAGCATGTCTCCTGTTTTAAGACTATAAGATAAACAATAATAATAACAGCTATTATTATTGTTATTTTGGAGCCATCTGCTTAAAAAAAAATTTAAAAATAAGTGAAACACTGTTCTTGAATATAATAAAAAAGTGGACACAGGCACATCCACCCATATGCATATATTTTTAAAAATATGTTTTTATTTATGTCAGAGAGAGGAAAGGAGAGGGAGAGAGAGAGGGAAACATCAATGATGAGAGAGTCATTGATCGGCTGCCTCCTGCACGCCCCCTACTGGGAATCAAGCCCACAACCCGGGCATGTGCCCTGACTCGGAATCAAACCAGTGACCTCCCGGTGCATAGGTCGATGCTCAACCACTGAGCCATGCTGGCTGGGCCATGTGCATATTTTTTAAGTTTAAATCTTACTGTTCAGGATTTAACAAATGAGATAGAAATGTTGTCAAGGAAGCAAGGAATGCGTTGCCGTCTTAATTTTGAACAAATACGCAAAGACAACAAATGTTTGGATGCAGTGTCCTTGAAGGACATGGCCATCAGCCATGCAACACAAATTAACAATTAAAGTGAATTCCAGGACTACCGGNGCAAAGACAACAAATGTTTGGATGCAGTGTCCTTAAGGACATGGCCCTCAGCCATGCAACACAAATTAACAATTAAAGTGAATTCCAGGACTACCGGGTGCTGCTAAAACTCCCCTTTGACATTTATGCCCATTTTAGAAGTTGCATGTGCTATGTGTTAATTGTGGTGGGGCGTAAATTCAATTGTGCGACAATGAAAAATCAGATTTATTCAAAATGAGTTCTTAAACGCATGGGTCACACAGGGCATATAATTAAAAAATAGTTTACTCAGGGGGAACATTCTGAAATTTACATATCTGTGATCATCTATAATCAGTGTGTAAAGTTTTGAAGCAAATTCGTGGAAAATGTCACAAAAATCAGGCAAAGCGATAGACGTGTTTTATGCAAGTTAATGAGGTGGCAATATTGGGGATGCCTATAACCCAAGAAGAAGTGCATAGGGGCAGGTGTTGTTTTCTTAGTGGAACTATCACTCGCTTGCTTTCACTTGCATCTATAAAGCTAAGAAAATAAAGTCACAACTGAACACACAGCATAGCATACATTTGTTTTGGCTGATTTCTAATCCCTTCCCCATAGAAGTCAGAATCCTACTCAATGTAAATGTATCTTTCGCCCGCAATGGGCCTGTATCTTGATCGCTGCTGTCAATGGCACAGGATAGGCAAAAAAAAAAAAAAAAAATCCCA